ATGCTAATTTTCAAACCTCTAAGACCATTACTATTAAGTCTATTACAAGTCATGAAAAACTTCAACAACACATGCGACTTTCACCCTCAACGTCTTTTGGTAAGTTTCGCCTTCGCCTGTGAATGTCTTGAAATAGTATGCACACGATGGATATATGCATGTTATTTGCAAGCAAAACATGCGTCGGAATCTGGGTACTTGCCGTGACATCGACTCGTTGTACTATTTTTCTCTAAAAACCCTGGACTGGGGAACTCAACTTTTTCACAGATCAGTAAGAATAGTCCGGTGGTGCAATTGTTTCACGTTGAGCAATGGAGCACATCTTGCATCACAGTTATGTACATGTATATTTTTACTGAAGGCTTCTTTCAGCTCTTCTCATTGATGTAGCTTGTTCAGTATTTCATGCACGGGTGAACGCCACACTCGCCTTTACCTCCTTCACCTCACAAGACATCGCAGGCAGCATGCATCGATCCACCATTGTCAATCTGGCCAGGCCTTCCCACATCTATTGAACGCCGTCTTGTGCGTTCACGAGGCATGCTCAGTTATTGAAATGGCATTACCGGACAATAAAATGCTACTTTCATCTTTATCCCTATTTGACCCACTAAAGATCACATTTACCATTATTCAATCAACGTGACGATGCTGAACCATTCTTTAATCAACCGACCACGATGAACCATTCTTTAGCCAATCAATCTGATGCATTTTGACGGTACTAATGTGGTTGGCTTGTGCATTTGCCATGTGCGAAAAACAAGCAGTGTTAGCTTTCCACAAATGCGAAACTATGCAACACTGCCTGGCCGTGGACTCTCGGTTCTTGCTAACATCTACGCTGCAAATCACAAGCGTTTTACGACAACGTTAAAAGCACGTCACGTGGTGAATTGTAGCCCGGTTCCCATGTTAGTGTAGCTTTGCCCTTCTTTGCTCTTCTTCCGCGTGGGTACCCTACCTGCTGAGCTAGCGTATGACTACTTGTTCACTAACAGGCGGGATCGCCTCATTCCACTCTGATTAGTGTATAACGGATGATTGGGGGATTGCCAGTGTATTAAACTGATATGGTCTATGGATGGGAATGACATAAAAATTGTTTTGGGCTTAGAAGGCTTGTGCTTTAAACCTACAGGTTTTCCCTGCCTCAAAAAGGGTTTCTCGCATTATCGATCTAGGACATCCCTCTCGTCCATTTTAGCAGAATAACATGAATACAGAGAAGGGTGACATCACAACGAATTGGCATGCGTGTGGTGTATAAACGCGTTGGGGCAAGGCTATTCTTAGGGAATGATTCCTGTCTTCGTGAGTTATTTGTGTGAAACTTTAAACAGGTTGACAAATAACGCATTCACGGTAGTTAACCAAACACCATCATTGTCTCCTTTTTCCTGCGAAATCCGCGATTTTTCTGCTTTGAGACCGACCGACGAGCAATAATTGGATCTAAGGCTACGCCGAGGTGGATCAGGACACAGCGGCAGTGGGCCCGCGGGACACGCGAACCATCTCATTCTCATCAGCTGTCTCATCTGTCAGCTGACGGCCGCGACAGTTGATCACGCTGCGATTACGTGTTCTTTTTTCCTTTGGAAAACTGAATGTGTCTTTGGCACCTGTCAATACACGCCAAATAGGCAGGATACTCCCATTCAATGCATGACAGCACTGTGACCGTTATGTACGTTATTCACTTAGCCTTCCTCTTATCTCACTGCTCCAACCCCCACCCTCCCTGTGCGTTGCATCCTTTAATTTTGGCGAAATCTTGGTTAATTAAGGTGATTACTGAGTCGAATAAGTACCTGATTTTTGTTTTAGTTTTTTTTCTCTGCTGCCAGTATGAAAATCGTTGATATTTTGGCTTCAGAAATGCAGGTTTGTTGAGAAAAGCGAAAGAGTTTTTGAAACTGACCCGGAAAGTTCAGCGGACCGTTTCGTCGCCTCGGCGCTGGATGAAGAGCTGCTACATGCGCTGGACGTTGCGGTCTTCCACGATGCGGCGCTTTCATTGTCGGTGCCCTATCCAATCATAATTCGCCGCGCTAGAAGTGGCTAGAAAAGGCATTAAAGGTCGTGAAGTATCCAAGAAATCGTCAGGAAGATCGTGAATTATGAAGGTCGCTCGAAGTTATGAGAGATCTAGCCCAATAACTGATCATCTCTCGTCGATCAGGCTCTCTTGCGAAGAAGCAAAAATGACTTCCAATTTTGGCCACTCCATTTTCTGACATTAAATCGGCCGAATAAAATGGCCAGCTGGTTAACGCGGGTAGCCCGACTTCAAATCCCAGTTATGCAATGATATAAAATGAGGGAACTGTCGAGCGTCGCGCTCCCTTTAAAAAAGACGCAGTTTCCGCGACCATAAACATTATTTTATGTGCCCGGGGAGAGAAAATAAGCAACCATAAGATGTTGAAACATGCCGCTGTCGCAGACCTGAGAAAACGTTTTAAGATGTACCTTTCTGAACAAACCTGGTATGAGTTAAGATTTGGTTCGAAAAACTCATTCTTAAATTATTTTCTATAAAGTGGGCTTCTGAAAGGATTACTCTATCTTCAATAGGGCAGTCAAAACTTTGCAGTTACTCACCAGATGCACGGCTGGCTGCCGGGCCGTGATCAACGCATGCCGTATGGACATCCTACAATGGTCCATACTGCCCATGGTCGTATGGACATCCTACAAACAAATCACTCGCTCGGAACGTCTCACAATTTCTGTTCTTGAGAGTAAGCGGTCTTTAACGCCTATCGTCGTAAGCTGCGCATTTTGTCTGAATATCAGCAGCAGACATCGGCCCTCTGTCACGAGCGCCAATCCTGTCTATGCTCATTATAATCGGAATATTAACTTAAAGAAGGTGTTTCAAATTTGAAGCCGTATACATTGAAACAAGCATCAGGTGTGATGAAATCACCTCAGTTATGGCTATTGGTGTACTCTTAAGTGGAAAGCTGCTTCAGATAAATAAATTTATTTTCAGTAAACGTGCTCCTCCATGCATCATTATTTAATTGCGTCATGGAACTCTTGTATCGCGAGGTCTTGCCCTGTACTTCAAAGTCTTCGAGAGATGGAAGCACGGGCTGGAAGTTTAAGATGGTTAGATGTAATCACATACCCGATTATAACGTCATTTTTAGGTTATTCAATGACAAGTCTTGTTTCTGTAATAGCAAGCAACTAAAGGAACCATGTCTAACTACTTATATTGCGTAGCACAAAACGTGCTTCCTGATTGGAGCTTGCACAGGCTGCCCAAAACTATCTGAGAGCTACTTGACGCCCACTTGGTTTGGAAATCGCGCTTACGAACGCCCGATCTGAACGACTGGACGATGATTTTCTTATTGGCTTTAAACACCGCCTGACATTTGGGGTAGCACGCTTTGAATTACGTTTTTATGGCGTTGAGCTTTCCCGAATGGCTTAAAAAGTCTGCATGACATTGTCTGCGCCTCTTCGCGGGCTTGTACCTCAGAAATTAGAGGGTTTTAGATCCCAAGAAGCCCAGGGCTTTGAACTGCGTCAGCGCCAAATGATTTTACAAAATGCTTATTTCAGCTCTAAACTCGTACAAATGTAAAACACTTGCTCTTAGTTGCAAACTTTGTTTCAAGGTAGATACAAAAACGTCATGGAAATCATCGCAACTGATTCGTTCACCAGTCAAACCTGAACCAGTGAAACAGCGCCTAACGAACAAGCGAGCACAAACATCAGGTCCTTACGGCTCTTCTGCTAGTGACGTCAGCATGTTTTACCAGGATGCTACTGTCAGGTCTTAGCGGCACGAGCGTTACCGGCATCAGTTAAACAGGCAAAAACCTCTTTCGGCTCTTAGTGCTCATTTCAGGGTAGTGAGGTCAAGGAGAGTGATAGTGTAGGGGCAAGAGTTCATGCATTTCGGAGTCCTCTGACAAGGGATCCCTCCTCGCACACAAAGAGATGCACACGTCGAGGAATATGCGGACGCCCCGACACTTTCATGCCAGAGGGCATTCAAAACTCCACTCACGGCTGCCACGTGGAGCTTGCCCCAGGAAAACTAGGTGCGGGGGGGGGGGGGTAGTATGAAGCATGAGGAAAGCAGGGCGCATGGCGGGAGTTGGTCACAAGAAACAGAGCTATGTTCCATGGCCCAATTGTTCTAATTTAACGTCTCAACGTATGCATCCGAGATCGGTTTTAGGAAAGATGACACGGGCTGTTTTCCGGTCGATTACTGGCACATCTCTGGGCCGAATACTTTTAAAATCCGTCAGGGAGTTGCAGCCGGCACATCCGCCTGCAACGTACAGTTGGCTCCACGCCTGCGAGAGTGAGGTTATCAGTTATCAGTGAGGTACAGTTATCTTCGCCTGCGAGATGTTCCATATGTCCTTAAAAATGCTTTCATACCGTCGAAGTATTGTGGAGCGTAGCACCTCTCAGAGATCTGTCTTGTGAAAAGGCCAGAAACATGGCATTGTCCAATGAAGTGGACCTGGAGAGCGTGGGTGGTGGGGTAATGCTGCGCTTGCCACGCTCTGCTTAGCCATTCCTCTGAACCAGAAGCCACCGGTGCAAATCAGTCGAAATGCACTGCCAAACATGAGATCAGGAAAGATTCCCACATGGTCTTGAAGTGACATGAACCGCATGAGAACGGATCGACACAACTTCGTTTTCATTTCACTATCAGCGCTCTGATAACGCTGTGACCCAGGTACGACTGCCTCAAACTCAAAAGATGACTCCGACCCACATCCGGTCCCCCATATCCAGGCCCCCCAGTCCACTTCGGCGCCCCGGGGCCCGCCGGCGGCTTTGTGTCAACAGCTCGGTTTGCTGGGAGCCTGGCCTCGCCACTTAGCTGAGCGGTAATTAACACGCGCGCGGCGTGGCCGGCCGGATGGCGCCTTTCTCCGCGGCACGGCGGCGGTCCGTCGGCGCGGCGGTGTTTCAACAGGAGGCTGCAGGTGGCCGGCGGCGGGGCGCCTGGCCGCCGCCGCCGCTATAAAGGCGCCCGCGGGCTGCTCGGCACGCTCAGAGTGTGACCAGGAGTGTCGTGTCGCCCACAGTGCTCCCGTCCGAAGATCGCCAAGGTCAGTCGTGGACGCTGCGGTAGCTGGGCGCGCGGAATTACCGGGCGAATGGTGGTGATGGTACCGTGGAGCATTCGGTCAAGTTCGCTGACCGCCGACGTCAAAGTTGATGAAGCACCCTGATGTCCAAACGGGATGAGTACCTACCTCGTGTGGGAACATGCCGGCACACACGCATACCATAAAGCCCAAGGTGTATTTAATGCTGATGATAAAGCTATCACCAATCCTCAACCCCTCCCGCAATGTCGACAACACGTGACGCTACTTGCATGTTTAATCAGGTTGCGAGTCACCTCGCATAATCTGATACTCTGCGTTTGTTTCCCAGATGATGCGTACGCTGTTTCTGGCAGTTGCCGTGGGCCTGCTGTCGTCCAGTTCAGCTGCACCTCAGGGGAGACCGCGCCAACCAATGATGGCGGTCATGCACGACATGGTTGATCTCGGAATGGTCAGCATTTCCTTGGCGGACTCGCGGATGCGTTGCATGCCTATGAGCATGCTTCTAATTACGCATGGTGCCATTGGTTTCGAATGTGATTTTCGTCAATAAGTTTGCTACATGACCATGACCAAAAGGAGATACGTTCAGCACCGAGCTGCTCCGCGTTGTTCGGATGCCAGCGCGTCGCAGGCTGTGGGTGTCTCTAAGCTCTGTACCGGATGAGACGTCACCAGGCTCTTTGCCTGCTGTACAGGCACCACCGTTTTGCACCATACCGCCAGTTGGCTGTCGTGGACGCGTTGACGTGCTGCTGATGTCACCCGGCGCGTCGCCCGGTCGCAGATGCCGGTGCGGCTGACCATGGGCGCGCTGGTCGGCGGCGGGCGGATGATCCACCGCAACATGGTGATGCCGATGACGAGGGGGGCGCGCTCCTTCATGCCCCGTCTCCGGAGCACGTTCACCAACCAGTGACGGTCACCGACTGCACCGTCCACGTGAGCACAAACCGCAGGCGCCGACTCTGCCAGGCGCACCAGATGTGTCGTCGTCGCAGATAGGTTTTGAGTGTGGCTGAAAACATCTTATTATTTCAACGCCAGGATTTATCCCCGAACGTCTCTGAAATCGTCAGTGGGTGCACCTGGGTCCTGGAACGTTGGATTCGTGGATGGGGTGACGCACTCCTCCTCATTTTGGAAGTCTGTAACGCATTTCAGGCATTGCCTGAAAAACGGTAAAAACCTGGCAAGCCCCACCCCAGAAAATCCGTCTCCGTTGGCCTTATCGGCGGCGGTACTGTGCCTACCTCCGAAACGGGATCATCCCTTCAATTGCCGTCTTACCGCACTGCTGTGTGGTTCTCACGGTAACTGCGATAACAAGTCCGCCTTGTGCCTGCCCTGACGCTCGCGAGGTGTAATCGCAAAACATTAGTGTTCTGGGGCGTGCCGAGATATGTCTGAAGCGAAGAAATTACGACATTACGTCACAAGGCTATCATTTTCATTGACTCACAGAGTAATGGAAATGTTCGCACGCATGTCATGGAAGTGGGCATTTGTCTGAAACCTTCGGTCTCTACTCAATATTTCATCACCACTCATTCTGCCCTCGATTTTCCAAACTTTTCACAAACTATCACAGCTGGTCATGCATTATACAGGTTGACTTAACGCTCAGTGTTGTTTGTTCCTCAGGTATTCAGTACCTGCCACCATCAGCTCATCTGCTTGACGAAGCATCACTGGCATCAAGTTCGTGTGATTACGACGTCACACAGACCCAGAATTTCAAACGTCAGCTGCCAGGGGCCATTGTAGCCCGTTCCCGACCGCCAGAGGCTATTGCAGCCCTCTGCCTGACGCCAGGGGCTATTGGAGCCCTCTCCCGGCCGCCAGGGGCTATTGGAGCCCTCTCCCGGCCGCCAGGGGCTATTGGAGCTCTCTCCCGGACGCCAGGGGCTATTGGAGCCCTCTCCCGGCCGCCAGGGGCTACTGGAGCCCTCTCCCGGCCGCCAGGGGCTATTGGAGCCATCTCCCGGCCGCCAGGGGCTACTGGAGCCATCTCCCGGCCGCCAGAGGCTACTGGAGCCATCTCCCGGCCGCCAGGGGCTATTGGAGCTCTCTCCCGGCCGCCAGGGGCTACTGGAGCTCTCTCCCGGCCGCCAGAGGCTATTGGAGCTCTCTCCCGGCCGGTAACGGTGACGACACTCGCGTGTGACGCATCTTGAGACGTGCAACAACGGGGGAAGGGTGGGGGGGGGGGGGGGTATTCCTCAGTGTGGAGTGTAGATATGGAGTAATTTATTGAAATACATTGGAGAGCTGGAAACATCAAATTTTGTTTCGTGACGCGGACTGTGCGATTCTCCGTTCTCCGCTGTAGCCACATTGTCCTAAAGAGAGTATCCTACCATTTTTATACCTTTCTGTATCCAATATCCAAAGTATCCAAACTGCGGGAGAAATCTCCTTTGATTCCCTGCTCACCGCCAGTAATATCTATCTTAGGACTGTCTTAGTACTACCTATATCAAATAACATGTTTCCTTTGCCTTGCTTTTGCAACGAAGGTGTTCTGTCATGCTTGTAACACACTTATGTGTCAAATTGCTTGTGTAATAACTGTTACGAAAGTTTGAAATACTCCAGGCAAAAAAATGTGCAAGCATAAGGCGATTTTTCCGCGAATTCAATGAAACCTTATACTATGCCTTTGCTTTTTTCCTCTGTGGCGGTTACCACCGTACCTCTTTTCCGAGGCGTGCTTTCGCTGTGGGAATGGGAACATCACATGATCTATAGTGGCACGCTGGCTCAAACTTCAACTAATGGACCAATCACAGACGTTTTTCTGTTCGCACCAGCAGAGGTGCGCACGACGGCGCACGGTCGTCATGACGATGGTGGTCGCGAATGAAGGGACCGAGTGTACCGCTGTTACTAAGCATTGACAGCGCAGTTTAGACTAAAAAAAATTGAAATTAATATATTTATTACGTCTTGACGCTACCGCAGTGGCACTGCCCAGTTCCACCATTAGACATAGCTATTCGTGAGGTTTCACTAAAACGTGTTTTTGAAATATGTCTCAAAGGTGGGGCACTCCCTTAAAAGGAGCCTGTCGAAGATATGTCTTAAGTAAATACATAGGCGACTGATTATGTATATCAACATACATATATATATATATATATATATATATATATATATATATATATATATATATGTAGACCGAGCATGCTGAAGGGAATACAACACAAGCACGACTTCGTGATAGTGCATTATGCATGTTAAGTCTGTGCCGCGTTCCGTCACCTCTGTCCGCCGGCGCCCTTCCTCAAGCGTCCGAGTCTCAGGTCAGAGCCGGCCGCACAGGTCACCGCCCTAGGCGGCCGGCCGCACGGGCGGGTCCAGGGGCGGGGTGCACTGCCACGGCGCACGGGCGGGCCCAGGCCGGCTAACACTAGAAACCCGCGCCCCACATTCTTCTCCCACAAGAAACTCGCCACAAATCCAAAACAAAAAACAAAGCACACTTTGTACAATGCATCGCAATCTGAGCTGCGTCTTCTCCACGCACTCCCGCTTCAGCTCCCCAGCTCAGCTCCCGGGACGGGTGCCGGAGCCGCACCAGCCATGGGGGAAGGCGCCCGATCACCCGGAGACATCCCTCGCGGGTGAGGTGGGCACCGTCCCCGTCCCCCAAAGTAGCTCCGCTCCGGGGCGAGCCAGTGGCGCCGCTGCCCTGGTCGTCTCGTCGCCCTATCACGGTCAGCGACCGTCTGTCGGGGAAGAAGCCCACCCGAGATCCGGTAGCGACGCCAGCTGGCGGTCGAGTCCGAACGCCGTCGTGTCCTCCCACGCCGCCGTCGCGTCGACCGGAGGACGTGGCACGGGCCCCAGAACGACGACGTGGTACCTTTGGGCGGTCTCCGACACCACTGCCCTGGTCAGGCTCATCGGGGCCGCGCTGACCTTGTCGCTCCGGGCGTAGATATCATTCTGGCCAAGCCAGAAAACTACCAGTCCGGCCGGTGCCCGGCGCGCCGCCGCTCTCCAGCTGGTGGTCCAGCTGACGCACCCGTCTCTCCAGACTGGTCAGCCTCCCCTCCAGCGGCTGATCCTCCGAGACAGAAGGAACGTCAGCCGCTGCTTCCTGGCGCGTCTCGAACTGGACGATGCGTACGTGCAGCTGATGCGTCCTCTCCACCCAGGTCGCTCGGTCGCCGCCGATCAGCTCTAGATCGGCGCCGATCTCCTCCATGTAAAATATAGCGCCTGCAAACCAATCATAGTGGCGGCAGAAACCATTCACATCTGGGCGGTGTAAAGTTCAGGGGGATTAACAACTCGTCCACTGTGAGTACCAGACCAATGGCAGGAGGCCATGTCGAGTGTGGAAAAATACTCGGCTCCTGCGAGCGATTCCAACGCGTCGTCTACTCTCGGGAGCGGGTGAGCCATGTCCTTGGTGACTTTGTTTACCGCTCTTAGGTCAACGCAAAAACGATAGGAGCTACCTTTCTTTTTGGCTAACACGATTGAGGAGCTACACGGACTAGTACTGGGGTCTATCACGCCATCACGGAGCATTTGTTGTCTCTGCTCCTCCACCTGCTCCCTCACGCGCAGCGGCATACCCCGAGGTCTTTACTTCACCGGCGGGGCATCTCCCGTGTCGATCTCGTGCTGCATCAGGTGTGTCCATCCCAGGTCGCCTGAAAGGCGACTGTAAATGTCGTTGGATTCTCTCACCAAATTCCGCACCTGGTTCAGCCCCTGCTCGGGCATCTCTAAATCTGTCAAGTGGATACTATCGAGGGCATCTTTCTCCTCCTTCCCAGAGTTGGCTGGCGGTGAACGATCTCTAGTCATTATCGCTGACATTGTAAATACCCATGCCATCGTCTCTGATCGTGTGCGGAATAACTATGTATGTAACAGCCAGGAGGCATGCCTCGCTGGTCGAGATGTTTTTTATTCTGACTGCTATCTGCCCACTCTCATTGACACCCGCGACGGCACGGGAGACCAGCAAATTATTTGAGCATCCTTTGTCATTCGGTTCCAACACCCCTTCCAAGCGCACTCCGAGACGCACATTGCATCGCCGTCTATCGCCTCGACAGTGGCGGCTACTACAGCCTCAATGCGGGGTGGAACTGTTACTACCGCTTGCAAACGTACCCTGGACCTGGGTGGACATATTTCGTCGTAAGTGGACAAGGCGATATCCATGTCGTCCAGCTTCAGGAAGCCTCGTCTGTCATCGAGGACCGTACCATGTCGACATGCGAAATCTCTGCCCAGCACCACGTCATAAATCAAGTTTTCTACCAGCGCCATCGAGGCAACAAACTGCTTACCCTCGATAATTACTGGCACGTCAGCTTCTGCCCAGATGTGCTGCGGCTCCCCGCTGGCACCTTACAGAGAGCCCTTGGGACCTGAAGTCTGTCCATCAACCTCGGTGTTTACACAACTCCGTGCTGCATCTACTCTGGAGAGTAAGAAATCAGCTCCGGAGCCGACTAGCGCCCATACCGTCCGATCTCCGATGCTCACTCTGATCATGGCGGCTCGTTTCGATGCGGGTGCACCGCACATCGCCGATTCCTGCCGCGCGGGACCGCCCCTGCTAGTTTTCCGAACCATACCCGAAGTTTCCCTCAGCTGAGGCTGCTGAGCTGCTCGTCCTGGCGGGATGTTGGGGACAACGGGTCATCCAGTGTCCCTCAGCCCCGCAGCAGAAACACAACGGCCGTCTTTTAGTCCCGATGTCACGAGGCTCCGCGCGACTCGGACCCTCTGTAGCCTGTCTCGGACCCGATGGTTCAGAGGACAGCGCGCCATCCAATGGCCCTCATCGTCACACAAACGGCTGCACTGCAGCTGCAGTGCCGGTCGCCGCTGCTCGTCTTGCGTCTGAGGACAGCGCCAGGAACGGACAAGTCACGCGCGTGTGTCCGAACGCACCACATTTCCGGCATCTCGCTTCTCGGGTAGGAAGTGCGCCTTGATAGCCAGGGACTGTGACGCCGCTCTGTGAAAGTGAAGCCTGGATGGCGTCCACCCGCCTCTGAACCGGATCCAGACGCTCGTCTCTGACCGACACTGATGAGAGGCTGACCTCTGCCCGAGATGAAGGCGGCCGACGTTTGACACCAGTGGGGGGGGGGGGGGGGGGGGGCAGCGTACGGGCGTACGGGCGCGGCGGCGCTACCACTGCCGCACGCTCCCATAGCCTCCAACGCCTCATGCTCTCGCTGAATGTCGCGAGAATGACTGACCGCCTCATCGAGTGATTTGGACCCTTTTCCACCTAACTTTGCATGCGGAACTGGGTCGTTCTATCCGCACACGAATTGCTGTAGGTTATTAGCCTCCGCAACCTCTGAATCGAGGTAGGCCTCGTGGGCTAGCTTCCTAACCCGCTCCTCAAAGTCCTCCTCTCGCCAGACTCGCGGGAGGTTCGGGTTGACTCAGAGTATGCGTGCAACGCGTTGACTCTCCGGTCGAATCTCTCGACCAGATGCTATTTCAGCTGTTCATATTCCACACGGACTGTTTTTGGCAGAGCGGCACAGAACTCGAATGACTTGGTCCCCAAACAAACCCATCAAAAATTGATCATTTTCTTCTTTTGGGCATTTGCCGGCGAGTAATTCGAGACGACTCAGCCATGACTGTAATTGCTGTTTACCCTCCCACGTAAAGAATTCCAGACGTGACAGAAGGACTGTGTCCATTTGATCCATTCGAGTGTTTGACCCCTGCCGGTCGCCGTATGAAGGAGGAGGACGGTATATTACCCAAAATAAAAATTGTGGCGGCAAAAATACACGACACAGCACGCACTTTGGCCAATACTCCCAAGAATGGCACAGATATTACACATACCACATACACTGTTTAAAGCTCCAGAGAATATATAACACCGAAGTATTTACTTTCTGTAGAGGAAAATTGTACCGACCGCGCCAATGTTAAGCCTGTGCCGCACATCGCCATCTCTGTCCGCCGGTGTCATTCCTGAAGCGTCCCAGTCTC